GTATCACTACAGAAGTAGATTGCCCAACCTTCCTTCCGAGGAGTGGCTGGTCGGTTTGAAGCGCCAGCCTTCTGGTGAGCAGTCACATGCTTAGGCACTTCGCTACCAGAGCTCCTACTATGCTGCCAGAGACCAGTCAGATGCAGGCGTGTGCTCAGATTCGGAAAGGACCGGCCTCCCGTGCCCCACCATGCTTCCCGATACCTGAAATCCCCCCATCAATCCCTCTGCCCTTGGGGGGGGGAACATTGGCCCTGTGTTCTCCTCATCCCTGGCCCTCCCTCAAGTCGTGAAGCTGGGGGTCGCCCACGCGGCCGTACCCAGTGCAGCGTGCGCTCTCGGGCCTCTTCCAGGCGCTCCTGCAGCTGGGCGCGCCGCTGGCCTTGCCAGAGTACCTCGTCCTGCCAGGTGTCCCGCAGCCGTTGCAGCCGCGCCCGCGCCACCTCCAGCTCCGCCAGCTGCTCGCGCTCCGTGCGCCTCAGCGCCGCTTGTGTGTTGGCCAAGCCATCGAAGCGCGCCACCAGCTCGGGGACTTCCTGGAACTGAGGTGGTGAAAGTCAGAGGGAATTACACAGGCCGCTAGCCTCCTGGCCTCCTCAAGTCACCTGACCTCTCCGCCCCTCTTCAGATGGCCCAAATGTAAAATGGCAGCATCACACAGCCCTTGCCCCCCAAGTGGGTATAGCAGGAGCCAGAGGGCCTGAGATAAGCGCTCTATCCGAACTTACCAATCAAGCCCAACAAGCTTCACGACCTGCGGTTAATATTCACCTATTTAACTAATGTCAAGATGGCTGGCTCCACCCCGCCCCACCTGCCTGATTGTGTGAGCAGAGTTAGCTTTCTGAGCTTCAGTTTTCCCATCTGTAAAATGGGGTTGACAATAACAGCATCCACTCACTTCCCTGGCTGTAGGGAGAACAAAGCGTGCCCCATTCAGGGGCACAGGGCTCACTAAGTGGTTCCTGGAATAGCCAACGCTCCAGAAGTGAGCCCGCCCAATGTTGTCTCCGAGCCCCTCCCCCGGCGCTGCACGGCGGTGCTGAGCCCCAGCGCCACCTGCTGGGCGCTCACCTCCGGCAGCAGCTCCAACACCCGT